TGGGTTCCAAATCAGGTTATTGGACAAGAAATAAGGAGAAATTCGAAGCTTTCTCACCAATTTTTCAAAGCTGGTGCCGGCGGCTTGGAGGGGGGGAAATTTCGGGCTACAGCGGGAAGAAGAGCAGAATCGGGTGAGGAAGAAAGAGGAAAAGGAGAAAAAGAAATAAGCCATCCTTATCCAAAATCTTTCCCTCTTTAAGTCCCTCAACTTTCAGAATATTCACAGTAGGCCCCAAAACACTATTTTCTCACACAAAGGTCCTTAACTTAATGCTAAAATATCACAAAATTTCGGGGTATTACATCCACCCCTCCTAAAAAGGAGTTTTGTCCCCAAAACTCAAATTGAGGATCATCTAGAGTGGTGAATGGCTTCACACAATCCGAGACAAAACAATTGCCTCATCACTTTCTAAGAATAGAACACGACCTATTATGCTTCCGCTGCGCCACTCTGATATCAAATCACAACAAATCATAAAAGCAGAACACTAACTACTTAACAGGGTTTACCATGAAACAAGCTACTAGAGGCTGGGGTGATATGGGAAGCACAACGAATAGAAATAAATCCTGCCAAGGCCACAAAAGAAACAGTTTTGGGGTTACGCTTTGAACCCAACACAAGACGAGTTGGCAAAGAATGGCATGGATTTAATGATAAGCACAACAAAATTTGAACTCTTATCAAAGACGGATAAGCATCCAATGGATGTACGAATCATGAATGAATGAACAAGTACATGGATGCCTTATAAATTATGCCACAAAACAAAGTTAACCAATAAACAAGGTCATGTTTAACAAAGCAATTGGAATCAAGAAACAGATTTTAGCAATTAACAAGAGTTAAAAGTTAGGACCATCAAATGACGTGAAATTTCCAAAATAGCATCAAAATGAAATCAGCAGAAAATATGAATGCTTGGAAGAATATTGGAACATAAGAGTGCAAGGTAGAATGCCTCAAAAATTTCAACAACAAAACGGCATTCACCTAGAGTCAAGATCAAATTTAACCAAGCAGTCAAAATTAAGAGACAAGAGTTAACCATGAAACAAGTAATAGAATTCCAAAAATTAGGCCCACAAAAGAGAGCCCACACAAGAGATTCCAATAATGACAATCAGAACATGGATTCAAGAGCAAATATAACCAGGATGTTAGGATGTCAAGATCTAGCACCTCAAGTACTAGAATTAATTAACATAACAAAGCAATGACTGGGATCAAGATGCTTAGAAGATTCATGTCTTCTAATTAAAAGGGCAAACAAGAATCCAAGCAGCCAGATCAAAGAACCATTTCACTTGGAACAAAACTCTAGGGCATCAAGTATTTCAAGGATTACCCCTTTACCTCGTAGCTCATGGAGGCTAAACAGGTTTACAATCAAGTCATCCTAGACATCCTAGAGTCAAGTCAAAGCTAGGACATTAAGGATACAAAGATTAACACTTGCAAGAGACAGGAACGAGAATGCCTCATATAGGTATCTTCTGATAATCGTCACCCCGCCTAAAGAGGTGTCTATATGAACAAAAACAAAATCAAGAAGATCAACAGGCATACAGAAACAAGAACGAGCAGAATATGCAAGATTTGAGCAAGAACAATATACAGAATTTGAGCAAGAACCAGTGTCAGAACAAGAACGTTTTCAAGGACAATTCAAACTAGATTCCAAAAACAATGCAAGAATTAATTTCAGACAAGTATCAAGATAATGAGGATTCCAATAATCATTATCCATTTCTGGATTTCAGTTTCAAGAACAAGTACAAAGCAATATCAAGAAAGATTCAAGACGGATTTTAGGAGTTTCAAGCAATTTCAATAGACATCAAGAATGTAGAGATTAGCAACAATAGGGAGTTTAACTTTATGACAGCTTGCCAATCTTCACAAAAAGACAACAATTTCAATTGAATAATCACTGCTCTTGATTAACCAATACAGAAAAATGAGCCACATGAAAAGACCACGAAGCTCCAAATGGAAAAAGTGAAACTTCACTATAAGACTTTCAGAAGATAAAGAGCAACGGAATTACCGAGTTATCCAGCTCCTAAAACGCAGCTAGAAAACACACAATATTTGCTGAAATAGCCTCGAATCTCTTGCAAAGTAGAGGGTTTACCCATCCTCCATTGGTCATGTGACAAACAAAACAAATTTCTCAACTAGCTATGTGGTAGAGACCAACAGGATCAATAACAAAAGATCTCTACAACTCCCCAGATTTCACAATTGTGGCAAGAGCATACAAAAATTCTAGGTTAAATACCCTTTTTGGTCCCTCTACTATAGGAAAAAGCCCCTTTTTAGTCCCTATACCAAAAAAATCCCCTTTTTGGTCCTTACTGTTCACAAATCCGGCCCCTTTTTGGTCCTTCCGTTAAATTTTGCTCACGTGGCACGTTAACTTAACTGAAACAGCTGACGTGGGTATGCCAA